GAAACTTAAATATTTATAATATTTTTATTATTCATTATTTTTACTAATTATTATTATTTTTTGTAAACAAATGTAAATTAATTAACTTAGTTTTAATTAGGTAATTTTGACTATTTTTATAATAAATAAAACCAATTTAGAATTAGGGTTTCTTTTGACTTTTATTTTCTTTTTATTTTATTTTAATTAAAAACATAAAACATAAAAAAGGACTTTTTCTTGTAAATAAAATACTAACAAATTAATTAGTAAATTAGGTTAATTTGAATTAATTGCAAAAAAGGACAAAACTCATATTTTCTCAAAAGGGGTCAAAACCCTAAGGACGTTCCAATTTAATTCTTTCGCGCTTTAATTTATTTTGATTATTTATGTAACTGTTTCCGGATATGTAATAGTTAATTAGGTTTTATCGCTTTATTTACTTTCCGCATTTATTTTCCAAAACGGGTTTTGTTTTTGGCGATGTATAGACCCGCGCCTTGTAATAGCGTAGATTTACATTTCCGCACTTTATTTTCCGCACTCTTAACTGTTAAAAATGCATGAAAGATTGGATGAAAATTAAAAACAACTCGTAGATCACCATGACATGTTCAAAGATAAATATAACATGAAAACAACACACAAGCACATGCCACTCCTAGGGTATGCCTCACTGGTTGCCTCGAACGTGGTCGTCAAGTATAGGGTGTGTTAGAGGTCGCCCTCCTGTCTAAGATCCAGTTGCCTCGAAACGGTTGCCTCGGATAAAAAGGATCTAGGACATTAGGGTTACTTCTAAGGTGTCCTACTATTGCTTCGGTGACCACATTGTCCCTTAATTGAATTGACCCGAATACCTCCAACGACGGTGCTACCTACTTCTCAATAGTGGGATAGTACTGTCTAAAAGACTCTTACACAGCCTAATTCCTTAGAGTAGGTAGATTTCTCATAGGTACTTGCTCTCTCAAACAAACAAAATAACTTTTCACACTGACACTTTCTAAAAGTTTTCAAACAAATTTTTCATACACTCTTGAGGACAGATACAAGAGTTACTCAGAAATTTTTCAAACGAAACTTTTTCAAAACCCACACACACTTGAAAAGCAAACATCTTTTAAAAACATAAAGAGCAAGTACCTAAGAGCCCATGGATAACCATGGATAGAAAGGGTGCTAACACCTTCCCTTTCTATAAATCTACCTCCCGAACCGAGAGACATCTCAAAGAAGGAATTTTGCTGTGCTTTTATCCTTTCCTTGTTGGAGAACATAAAAGACGGTGGCGACTCTTGCTTACCGCGACATTTCGCGAACCAGCTTTAAAACAGTCAGTTCTATTTCCACCGATCACACCGAGGTTTTATTCTAAGGCGCGCCATGTTTTATTTATTTTTGGTAAAAAATCAACTTGTTCCTTCGGTTATAAATCGAGGTGTAATACCTTTCCCGACATGCTTCGAGTTCCAACTACTACAATTTATGTTTTTATTTGTTTACAAGTGTAAAATAAATTATCTAACCCTTCGGTTTTTTTGATAATCTGATGGATAAATTAATAAGATTTTACTATAAAAATATCCATTAAATAAATTACACCGTAATGTTATCTTATTTGTAGACGCCCTACCATCTAATGTATCATTTTTTGGGATAGATTACAAATCTAAAAAAAGACGTCCTTTTACCTTGAACAAAATATTTTTTTAGCTTTTGCAATCCATATCAAACAATGGTGTTGATATTATTGTTGTTATTCCTAAAAGTTGTTGTTGTTGTTGTTATTCTTAAAAGCTTTACTGATGGATGCAAGTGCGGAAAAAACATTTTCCAATTTTTGGGAGAAACACCTTATTAGAAGTTAGATGCATTCAACGTATGCACATTGTATACGCTAGTGAATGCAGTGATAATGATAGCATCAACAATCAATCTTGGATGTAAAGTTCGACATTCAAGCATCAACAATAAATCTTGGATGCAAATTTATGATGAATTGCAAATACAGAAAAATCATTGAAGAAATTTTTTGTAAATAATTTATTTTAATATTATCTGTAAACAATGTAATACTAAAAAATAATAACTATCACCTCGGTTTTTAAAAATAACCGAGGTGATATTTCAAAAATAATAAATAATAATAACCACCGCGTCAGTTTTAAACTTTAAACCAAGGGGTATAGTAGTCAGATTTTACTATAAAAGCAATTGTTAGATTTTATCCTAATTTGTGTTCATATGAAGCCGCCTCAACTCGCATCATTATTCACAAAACATTTTTTTGCCCTATACTCACAAAATGGTGTTGTATTTTTTTGGGAGAAATATTGTTGTAATTGATAGATTGCAAGTGTAAAAAATTATTCTTTCTTCAACTTACACAAAGAAGGGAGCTCAACCTTTGAAAGTTTAAACATATAAGAGAACTTAACTTTTCAGAAGATGGATATCAGTGAAAGAGATCTCTAGCATCTTGTGTGAAACTTGGACATACTGTAATTTTTTATATTCTGCGAAGATTTATTGCATACAATGGATTTTTAATATTCAGGGTAAACAATGTCCCATTTTTGTAAAAAAATAAAAAATTAATCTAACCCCTCAGTTTTATTCCAAAACTGAGAGGATAGTTAAGTGTTATTTTCACTTTTTTCAACGGCCTTAAACAAATTTTTGTCGTCCATTTAAAGATTATCAATGCTCAAGAATGTTTCATTATCGATCTGCGTGAAATCTAAAGAACATCCATTATATAAGTTCATTATATTAGAAATCTAAATGAAACATATGAAGCGCTTGAAACCTAAGGACGCTTGGAAAAGTTCTCTACGATAGATTTCAAGAGCATAAAATCATCTGGGTTCAAGGTTTGTTTTATTAAATTTTTATTTTTACCAATTTTTTATTATTGATATTAATTATGTTACCCTTTTTTCACCAAAAACAAATGCATGCAAGATTCGTCAATAATATTCAATAATTCGAAGATCTAGATCTACATCTTGAGGGAATTTGATTTTCATCTAGATTCCTAGGGAGTTTGATTTTTATTTTAGTTTAAATATTATGGGTAAATAATGTAATATTCTGTGTAAACTATATAGTATTTTGGGTAAACTATATAAAAATTAAAAAAAAAATCACACACCTCGATTATTTAATAAACCGAGATAAAAGAAATGCTAGTTTTGAAAATAATAAAATTTGTTGTTGTTGGGGTTCGAACCCATGCGCTAATAAACCTGTACCTCAGTGTTTTAAAGACCGAGGTGATAAGTGTTTACTTATTATGACGACCTTATTTACATCGCATCTACCTGCGAGGTAAAGCGCATTTTGAGTCCGACGTTAGAAGCATTATTTGTAGTAGTGTTTCTACTAAGATCTCCTTTTCCCAATTCATATAAGGTTGTGCCATATTTAGCAAGTTGTTTAAACTACAAGCTCCATTAAATCATAGTTTCTCCCAGAACATGCAATATGGCCTCAAACCCTTCTTGAATATCCAACACTTTAGTCCTTTGTCTATATCTCCCAATGTTACGACCACTTTCATGAAATGGTCTACGTATTCACATATGATTTATTTCTTTCTATGTGATCTCGATGAGCATCACCATAGTTGTAGGTTGTTGTTTCCAGGCGGTACATTGGACGGGAAATGAGTCACATAGATCCTTCCATGAGTTAATGCTTCCATTTGGAAGCGTCTAATACCATGTCATGGCTTGTATAGTGAGGGTTAGCATAAAGAACATATACTTTACAAACCTATGGGTGTGATAGTAGTCTAATATGTTATCAACGCACTTTACATATTCGTCAGACATGGTCCTTAGTCTCGTCGCAGTCACCCAACTTCATATGTTTCTCCAGGGACCTAGGGATTCTACTATCAAGGATGTGTGCAGACATACGGTTCCTTTCGTGTTCTGTATTAGGAACATCTATGCCGTCCCTTTTTCTCCCACGAGAATGATGTGTCGATGATTGATGACGACTGGGAAATTTTAGTGGAGTATGCCTCCCTCCCCTTCCCTCAGAGCTGAGAGGAGGAGTCTGTTGTCCCCTACCTTGGTGGTGACTTGAAGATCATGGAGTAACTTCATATGATGTGGTCATTTTGGTGGGGGTTGGCTCAGGTATCGTAGAGGGACTGTCGCACGAAACCGCTTATCTTATATTGTTATGTCTCTAAGTGTTGTACTATAAGTTTTTTTCAATTCTCAAGATCCTATCTGCTAGGAATCGGGGGTCTTGGTGGTCCACCAAGTTATTCATGTTATTCAATAGGTCTGTGGCTCCAAGCATGCATAGATTGGCTTGCATCACTTGGAAGTTGGGAAACATTTCTTGTCCAGGTATCAAAGGTTACAAATGAGGTCAGTTTGAAAGTTCACCTTAATAAGGAAGAAACAAAGATTGAAAGGTTGGAAGTCTTAGAATACTCCTTGGTTGATTCTTGGAGGAGTCAAATCCCGCGACGTTGGAATGAAATGTAAAGTTACTAATATTGGGTCGTCCATCTCTAATGGAGGAGGATGAGCTATATTAGCTTCAACAACGATTTTAACAGATCGAGCGATGTTTGAAATCATCATAGCTTCAGGAGTTCAATACTAGATTATTCGAGAAAAGATTGGTGTTCACGAGAAAAGAATCAGAGATCTAGATCTCCGATAAAGAAACGTGAAATTTTTATATAAATCAAAAGTCAATTCTCACATACAATAATTAATGCGTCTGGAGGGCAAAACCATCTACTATTTGTGAAAGGATAACCACCTACTATATGCACTCATTTACTTGATGTTGCTCTTGAACCTTTCGCTATGGATCTTACGAACTCTCTAGAACAAAAATGTATAAACAAAAGAGAAAAATAATATTTTATCAAAATATTCTTTATCATGTATTTATACATAAAACTTTACTGAAAAAAAAAAAAAGAGAGAGAAAAATAGCAGCGTAAAAGCGGTCCTCTAGCAAGTTAGGGGCGGAAACAAACAATGGAGGAAATAACATCCACAGCAACAGAGACAACAAAAGACGACGATGTTTGGTCCAAAGACACGGTCCCCAAGGTTTTCAAACTCGTTTCTTCTTCCACTTCATCTCTCACTCTCACTCACCCCGACCTCGTTTCTCTCCTCCTCGTCAGTCCCTTCCTCTATCGCACCCTTCTCTCTTCTCAACCCCTCTGGCAAGTAAGTTTTCAACACCAATCTCCACTTTCCCTTTCCACTTTCCCTTTCCCCTGCATTCTTCCTTTACTAATTAATTCTTCTTCTTGTTATTATCAGTTACTCAATTTTCGTGAGTCGAATAATGCCGGAAATCGCCTCATAGCTGCCCTTTCACTGGTATGTTAATTATCCATTTTCATTTTCATTCAATTTAGATGAAAATTGACTATGTAGCACGGCCCCTCTGGAAAAAGTTGTGTCTGTGTCTGTTTCCGGTGTTTGTGCTTAATAGAAATTTGATGCTTGTGATTAATAGTGTTTTGGTATGGAATTTGATTGGTTCTTCTTTTAGCCTAGATATAGCCATGTAAAGGAGATTAACCTTGAATTTGCGAGAGACATTGAAGACACACATCTCATACTTATTAAACAGAAGGTAACCATAGTAGACAATGATGTAGAAATGTAGAATGTTGATTGAATGTGATTTTCTGACTGCGTTAATTTAAGCATTTTTCTAGTGTTTTGATTCTCTTCGAAGCTTGGAGTCTTTGAATCTCAACGTCTGCCAAAAAATATCGGATACAGGAATTGAAGCGATAACCAGTTGTTGTCCTCGGCTGAAAAACTTTTCCATCTACTGGAATGTGAGGTGCGTTAAGTTTTTTTCTTAACACGCAATGTTCGGTTTAGCAGTTGAAACTATCAGTTTGGATTTGAATTTGAGTGTTCTTTCAGGGTGACTGATAGTGGACTACTGCATATAGTGAGGAACTGCAAACACATTGTTGATTTGAATATAAGTGGCTGTAAGGTACATGATGATACCTTGGAGTTGTAATTTTATATTGCATTACTGTTGAATGTTTATTTATAAAGTTTTGTTATTAATATTATTATCACACATACGTACATAAAGAAATGCAAGCATACAGTGCGTGCGTATGTTTGTGTTTGTGTTTTTGTGTGTGTCTGTATGTGTGTGCGCGCATTTCAACTAAAATTAATTTTGAAAATCAAGTTTTTGACCGTGAAGTATGTTGTGTACACTAGAATTCTGAATCATCTTGTTAGAAAATAATAGTGTTTTTTAAAATTTGGGACTTGTGCTTTTGAAATAAGTGGTTTGATATGATAATTGCAGAATATTTCAGACCAAGGTGTACAATTTGTTGCAGACAATTACCCAAAACTAGAGTCAGTGAACTTGACAAGGTATGGATTGTAAATATCATTACTCAAATGATGAATTATATGCTTTTTTACCCTTATGCATTAGCTTGTTTGTGTTGAGATATCTGAAATTATGTAATTTATGTTATAGATTTAGATGGTTCGATGCTGATCTTAACCCTTAATCAAGCGATGTGATTGTTCATATTGATTAGTATAAAGTATAATTAAACAGATTGGAAGTTATTCTGTACTTTCCTTTATTCAGATCTTTTAATTCCTTAATCTTATGTTTGGGTTTCTATCATCCTTCAAATCAATTCTAGTCCCTTTTTCAAGATGGGGTATCCAGAGCTTGCTTACCCTAGTTTTTTTTTTGTTTTTTTTTTTTTAAATTCCAATTCTGTAGCATCCACTGTGCACTGCTAATGCTACAGTAGACATGTACGACACTGTCGTCACAAAAAGAATCCAATCTGCCACCCTCCAGAGTTTCGCCGCAGGAGAAGTCCCAGTGTGCCTACTCATACAGTCACCACCTGCCAGCCTTTTAGGCGCATGTAAGCCATATGCCATCATGAACTGCTCCTATCACGACGCCTTCCTACTCAATCTGTTTTCGGTGTTTTCTGTCTAATTCGGAGTCTTTATCAGTACTATCTAGCAAACCCTCACTGGGACTTCTGGGGAAGCTTAAAACATCCGGGGTGGATTATCACATTGGACTCTAAATAGCAACCACTCAAGTGAGTTTGGACACCATAAAGCTTTAGGTATTAGGTATGTAAGTTATCTCCATTATATGTTGCTTAACATCGACTCTTTTATTCAATGAGACTTCTAACTCACACTTGACATATCAACATTCTCTCCCTCTACTGTGAGACTCTTCAAGTCCTTGATACAACACCGGGAACAACTTCCGCTCTCCCAGACCCCCACCGAGTCAAACCAGACTATGATACCTTTGTAAGAACTTCAGGACAGCCTAAAACCCCGGGGTAGATCATCATATTTGACTAATGAGCAACCACACAAGTGAGGTTGGAACTAGCTAGATTTACATGACAAATACACACCACCGTAAGGGGGAGTGTTGAGATGTTTGAAATTATATTATAGATTTGTATTTGATTTGATGTTGATCACCCGTAGTCAAAGGATTTGATTGTACATATTGAGTAGTATAAATATATACTTGGAGAGTTTATCACTCAAGTCATTCAAATAAATTCTAGTCCCTTTTTCAAGAGTTTGATTGGCATGCTACTTTTGATGAACTAGTATAAAGGAATGGATCAATTATATTGTTTCTAGTTTTTCCCCCTAGTTCTATGTAAGATGCAATTATATTGTTTCAATTTTCTATTTCTTCTGGGTTCGTAACGTATATATACATCTCAAAATTTGACACCTAGGTGCGTCAAGTTAACCGACAAGGGGCTGAAGCAGTTGTTACAGAAATGCCTATCTCTTCAAAGTTTGAATCTCTATGCAGTGTCTAGGTAGGAATTGAAACTCAACCTATTGAAGTTCAATTTGTCTTTCTGAAAATTCACCGCATTACTCTTATTCAGTTTCACAGATGAAGCTTACAGGAAAATCGGCCTTCTGTCACGTCTCATGTTTTTGGATCTTTGTGGTGCCCAGGTAAAATCTCCGGTTGTTGGAGATTTCTCTGCACAACCCTATCTAACGCAAACTGCTAATAGAAATAAGTTTTCCTTGCAGAATCTTTCGGATGAAGGACTTCAATGTATTTCGAAATGCAAGAACCTTGTATCCCTCAATCTGACTTGGTAAACTCACGATCAATTTAAATATACGTTTATCTCATTTTATGAAAGTAATGGAGCTGTATCTGATTTTACGTGATAGGTGTGTACGTGTGACCGACAAAGGCGTTATAGCCATTTCACAGAGTTGCACCTCTCTTGAATTTCTAAGGTATTATCATATTTTGAGAAATTTATAGCACTTGGATAATTGTTATCCTAGAATCACTTTTTGGCTTGATGTATTGGATGGCAATATTTGCAGCTTATTCGGAATAGTCGGCGTGACCGATAAATGTCTGGAAGCACTCTCAAAGACATGTTCCAACAGCATTACGACCCTCGATGTGAACGGATGTATCGGCATTAAGGCAAGTTCCTATTCCAAAGAAGCTCTACACTATATACAGCCAATAACAAGTTTTAACTTAACCATTTTGTCTAACAATTCGCGGTTTTCTTCTTGCAGAAACGAAGCCGCCCAGAGTTGCTTCGATTGTTTCCATATTTGAAATGCTTTAAAGTGCATAGTTAATCTCTGGTTAGTGAAACTTTGGTAACAAAAGTAGTCTATTTTTTCGACCGGAGGAAAATTATCTCTAAAGCTGTTATTTTTAAGCTATGTAACACGGACACGGACACTTCAGATTGAATAACAACACCATGTACTTACATTAATTATACAAATTTTTTCAAATTATTGTTTTCGACATTAGAATTTACACTATCAATACTTGATGAAATATAATTTCCTTACAAATTAACACTAGCATTCAGTAGTTCAAAAAAACTAAGGACATGTTTGGTGTAGTCTGAGTTTTTAGTTTTTAATCTTAAAAACAAACATATTCGGATAAATTATATTTAAATGAGCTTTTTCAGTTTTTGAGAATAGTTTTTTATTAAAATCAAAAACCTAAAAATAGATATTTATGACATGTTTGAATGAGTTTTAGTTTTTAATTTTTAAAAAATATTTTGTAAATCTATTTTAAAAAACAGTTTTGAAGAAAAAAAGCAGTTTTAAAATTGTCTTAAAGTTTTATAATATTACAAATTTCTCATTTATAATTTGTTTTTCTTTTTTCTAATTTTAAAAATTAAAAATAAACACATGTAAAATCTATTTTAACTTTTTATTTTTAAAATTTTTAAATAGAAAATAATTTTATAAAATTAAGTTACTAAACAAGTTTTATTGTTTTTAAATTTTTAAAACCATCTAACATGACCTTAGTTTCCTGTTTCTAGTATTTATGCATAGTGCATCACATTCCATTCATCTCCTCTATCTCTCACAACTTTCTTCTTCCATTTTAATATATTGTGTTAGTAAAAAGGTATTACCAAAATGTGGTTGTTTGGAGAGCATCCAATTTTTTTGTACTCATGCCAAAATAGTTTTTTAAAAGTTATTTTTATTAGATTTAATCTATATTTTAGGAATATCTTTTTAGAAGATATTATTATATATTTTTTATATCTTTGTTAGAGGATATTTAGGATTTTATTTTGTGTATAAATAGTCTAGTGATGTAGGTTAATGTAATTCATTGTAAATTATTATTTTTTATTTTGTAGCCATTATTTAATATATCTTTTTGCATTTCATTTCTTCTTTGTGCACAAACAATTGGTATCTAGAGCTCTGGGGATTTGGGAAACACTGATTCTGATTCTGAATTTCTACGTAAATTGCACAAGGTAGAAGATAAACGGAAACGGCGACGATGTCCATTCCAAGCTTCCAGTATTTGATGGTAAAAACTGGAATCGCTGGAAGATCCAGATGTGCGTGTTATTTGGTTCTCAAGATGTGTTAGATCTTGTCACCGATGACTATGATTTGTTAGAAGCAGACGCAACAGAGGCACATAAGATAACACATATGGTGCTAAGGAAGAAAGATCAGAAGGCGTTGTTCTACATCCATCAATGTGTGAATGCAAACGTGTTTGAGAAGATTGCTGATTCTGAAACAGCAAAGGTTGTGTGGGACACACTGGTCAAATGTTACAGTCGTGACGCATCAGTGAAGAAGGTGAAGCTTCAGTCTCTCAGAAAGCGATATGAGAATCTCAACATGAAGGACAACGAGAAGGTTTCTGAATACATCTCTAGAGTGATTCTGATCACTAATGAGATGAAAGCTTGTGGAGAAACTCTGTTTGAACAAGTAATTATTGAGAAGATCTTGAGATCTTCAATTTATCAGTTTGATTACCTTATGGTAGCAATTGAATATTCCAAAGATCTGAGCACCATGAGAGTTGAAGAGCTGCAAAGTAGTCTAGAGGCGCATGAGTTGCGTATGACTGCGAGAACTTCTGAGAGGGAGTAGAGCAGCAGGCTCTGAAAGCAACTTCTGATAAGAAGTATCAGAAACAGACTTGGTCAGAAGCCAGGAAGAAAACTAAGGATGGTCAAAGGTCAGAAGCTTCAAACTCTGATAGGCAGAAGAATGTCCAGAAGGGAAAGGAGAAGTCTGATAAGAAGAATGTTTAGTGTTACTGTTGCAAGAACTTTGGTCACTATGTCAAAGATTGTTGGTCAAACAAAGAAAGAAAGTCAGAAGAAGCAAATATAGCCAGAGGAGAGTCAGATGATGAACCTGTGCTATTGTTGGCTTCTGAACCCGATGATCTGAATGCATCCGAATGGTGGTATATGGACACAGGGTGTTCAAACCATCTTACCGAAAACAAGAAATGGTTGGTTGATTTTGACTCTAGAAAGAGTAGAAAGATCAGTGTGTTGATGATAAATACCTCAATGCAGAATGTATGGGAAATGTCAGAATCATTCTAAACAATGGGAAAGCAACAATGATCCAGAATGTATGGTATGTACCTGACATGAAAAACAATCTGATGAGTGTGGGACAACTGATTGAGAAAGGTTTTTCAGTTACCATGAAGGACAATCTTCTGAAGTTGTATGACTGTAATCAGAAGCTGATTATGGAGTCATAACAGGGAAGGAACATAACATTCAAGGTGAATGTTAGAACTGCAGACTCTGAATGTCTTAGTGCAATAAGTGTTGTCAAGGAGAATGAGTTGTGACACAGAAGATTCGGTCATCTGAATTTCAGAAGTTTAGGACATCTGAAATCAAAGAATCTGGTACATGGAATTCCTACAATCAAGAAGCCTGGAAAATCATGCAAGGTGTGTATGAAAGGGAAGCAACCAAGATTACCATTTGCATCAGAAGTAGTTCCAAGAGCAAAACATGCCTTGAGAGAAGTGCATTCTGATGTGTGTGGTCCTTTTCCAGTAGCATCAACTGGAGGAAATAAATATTTTGTGTCATTTGTTGATGAGTTCACCAGAATGACATGGGTATCTCTCATAAAGTTCAAACACAAGGTGTTTGCTGAATTCAAGAAGTTCAGACTGAAGACTGAGAATCAGAGTGGCCAGACTCTGAAGATTCTTAGAACTGATGGTGGTGGTGAGTATAACTCCACAAATTCAAAAGTTTCTGTGAGGAGAATGAAATTGAGCATGAGGTTACTGTTCCCTATACTCCTCGACACAATGGTCTTTCTGAAAGAAGAAACCGTACTTTGCTTGATATGGTGAGAAGCATGCTTAAAGAGAAGAAGCTTCCTCATACTCTGTGGGGAAAAGCTATTGCAACTGCATGTTATGTGCTCAACAGATGTCCAACCAAGAAATTGAAGGAAATAGTTCCTATTCAGAAGTGGACTGGAGATAAGCAAAGTGTTAGTCATCTGAAGGTGTTTGGTTCTGTATGCTACAAACATGTCCCAAAAGCCAGAAGACAAGTTAGATGATGGAAGTAAAGTGATGTTGCTGGTGGGGTATTACAGTACAGGTTCGTACAAACTTTATTGTCCAGAAACTAACAAAATTGAATTCAACAGAGACGTCATTGTAAAAGAATCAGAAGTTTGGAATTGGGAAAGGTCTCGTTCTGACTCTGATGAGAGAACTCCTGAAGAAAAGTCAGAAACACATGTTTTTGAAGCTTGTAAACACTGACTCTGAAGAAGATACAGAAGGAGAAGATGATTTTGACTCTGATTTCGATGGTGATCCAGACTCTGAAGACAGTCAAGGTTTTGGAGAAAGTCCAATTTCTGAAGCAAGTACTTCTGAAGGGGAAAGTTCTGGTGTCCAAAGTTCTGAAGGCTCAATTCAGAGGCAACAAAGAGTCAGAAGCATCCTAAGAAGATTTGCAGAGTTTGACATGTTGTAAGACACTGAAGTAGACTTTGAAGAAGAAGTTATTCAGTGTGCAATGTTAGTAGACTTTGAACCCGTGAGTACGAAAGAGGCTCTTAAGCAGCAAGTTTGATTACAGACCATGAAAGAAGAGCTTGATGCTATAGAGAGAAACAAGACTTGGAAGCTGACATAACTTTCAAAAGGCAAGAAAGCCATCAGCGTCAGATGGGTTTTCAAGCAGAAGCTAAAGCCAGATGGATCAATTGGCAAACACAAAGTAAGATTAATAGCAAGAGGCTTTCTATAGAAGCCTGAGCTAGATTACTTTGAAGTGTTTGCACCTGTAGCGAGACATGAAACAATCAGACTAGTGATTGCAATAGCTGCTAACAGGAATTGGCCTCTGATGCATTAAGATGTAAAATTTGTATTTCTAAATGGTCCATTACAAGAAGAGGTATATGTATCACAACCTCCTGGATTTGAGAAAAAGAATCAGGAAGGGATGGTGTTCAAATTACACAAAGCCTTGTATGAATTAAAGCAAGCGCCCAGAGCTTGAAATTTGAAGATTGATTCATTTTTCAAGGAATAAGGGTTTCAGAAGTGTGAGATGGAGTATGATGTTTATGTTCAGTATACTTCGGAAGGTAATATGATTCTAGTCTGTTTGTATGTTGATGACATATTACTCACAGGAAGTTCTGAACAAGAGATAACTGAGTTCAAGAAAGTTCTGATGAATGCGTCCGAGATGACAGATCTTGGGAAAATGAGTTTTTTTTAGGGATTGAATTTATGTACCCTGAAAAAGGAATCATTTTGCATCAGATGAAGTATGAACTAGAGCTTCTGAAAAGATTTGAGCTAGAGAATTGCAAAGTTGCTATCACACCTGCTGATACAAATCAGAAGTTGGACTCTGATTCTGATGGAGAGGATGTGGATGCTATAACCTTCAAACAGTTGGTTGGTTCTCTAAGGTATTTGTGTAATACCATACCTGATATTTGTTATGCAGTTGAAATAATTAGCAGATTTATGAGTAAACCAAAGTGGTCTCATTACCAAGCTGCTGTTAGAATTATGAGGTATGTGAAGGAAACTCTGAAGTATGGAGTGTTATTCCGTCTGAAAGAAAGATCGAATAAGAACTTCTGAGTTATTCAGACTCTGATTGGTGCGGAGATAGAGTTGACAGAAGAAGTACTTCTGCGTACTTATTCAAATTTCTGGGAGGTCTTATTTTTTGGTGTTCCAAGAAGCAACCTGTTGTTGCGCTGTCAACCTGTGAAGCTGAATATAATGCAGGTGCTCTGACTGCATGTCAAGCTGTGTG